ATCCACGATGGTTTTTGCAGTTCACAGTTCACAGCTCAGCTTTTTAAGTCTTTAATGCCACTTTTTCACAATTATCATCGGTTGAAGTAAATAAAACTTGAATTAAACTCACAAGATAGCAATATTCCTTTGAAAATGGACGCTATAAACACTTTTCGGAATTTCTTTAATGAGAGCGATTTAGATTTTGAAAGATTATTATGATTTTTGAAGATTCTGACTTTGACAAGAGAAAATTATTTCTGTTTTTGTTCGCCGTTGTTCTTAGCGACCGCTATAGCAGCGCCAGATCGCGTATAACGGTCGCGACCCAAAATAATTTCGCGACCTAAAATTTTTACGGGCTTTCCAATCTAAACTTGTTGCATTTACCTATCTATGGGTTTCCATCAACAGAAAGTAACCAGTGTCGTAGTTTCTTTCATCGACTGCGCACACTTTCGGCTGATTCGAGTCAGTAGCGTACGGATTAATTTATTTTGTTTATTTCTTGAGTTATATTTTATAGTTGTTGTCTTATTTTTGTTTATTGTGTTATATATTTGGTTTTTCTAGTTTATTTTCGTTTCTTGTGTTATATAATTTATTTTTGTTTTTCTGAACATTTTTAAATCGTTAATTTTTACGTGTTTTTAAAATGCCTGGGCGAAGTTGTGCAGCAAAAAACTGCCCGAGTAGAGGACTAAACTGCAATAAAAGTTTCTTTCTGTTTCCTAGAGATCCGATTAGGTATGATTAATTATTTTAACATATTTTAACATATTTTAGTTAAAAAAAAACAGTAGTATACATATTAGGACATTCAGCTAAATAGAAAGATCTAATTAAAAATATACAAGTTCAGCATCTATATTAAATGTTAACAAACTTATATACAGGGTGAGTCTTGCAATTGCAATATTGCAAAGTGCAAATATTTTCAGGGCTGACAGATCTCGATAAAAGAAACATATTTTCTCCTTACTTTTTCAGATAAATCCAAAATAACCGAGTTATTTAAGTTTAAAAAAATGTTTTTTTTTAAATGTTGAGTTGAGAGCCACCGGATTTTTTCTGTATTTGCATCCCTTTTAGCACAGAATATCTAGCTACGCAACAGAAAAATACTCGAAATGAAAGAGCTAAAATTGCACAAATAGAATACTAGATGGCGCGACAATATCATAATCAGAATATAATTAGAAATTTTGAACTTTCGGTTTTGGATCGACGGCTCCTCGACGGCCTTATAGCTCGGCTAAATATGCACAGTTGCCAGATTCAAAAGACTTGAATTGGCATCCCATTCTTTTATTGTGTATAATGCAGTATGTGTTTCTTTCTATTCTTCTTTTCTTGTCAGATACACTATATTAATTATTCCTTTGGCTATTAAAATAGTTTTAAGTATATTATTACAAAACATATACATTTTTAATATACACTATACCTTATAATGTTAACTAAGAAAATACCTTTTAATTACTTTTAAAATTAATAATATACAGGGCGATTGATAGTGATATTTATTAATGCTGGAACGTTAGTAATGAAATATAAGTTTAATAATAATGGAAATAATTTATTAAAATGCAGTACAAAAATGTTAACTGACTAAAAAATACTATAAAAACAAATTTCTTCCGTGTTTGCCACGTTATTTTATATATAGACCTAGGTAGATTTTAAAAGTGACACAGGTACAATTAATAATTTATTAGTTCGGCATAAAAGTTGCTGTCACGACATCGAACAATAAATTAAAATTCGTAAAAATAAATTAAAATTATTAATTAAACAAATCTTTATAAAGAAACGCAAGTATACCAAATTTGGGGCCCAATCGAACTCCAGGAAATTATATCATAATAGTGTACTATATTATGGTACCACTCGATATACTTTAAGGTACCATAATATTGCAATGTCACCGAAGATCCGTAGTATACCAAATTTAAGAACAATCGAACGCCATGAAATGGTATCGTAATATGGTACTATATTAAGGTACCACTTTATATGCATCATAGTACCATCATATTACAATGTCACCGAAAATACGTAGTATCCCAAGTTTAAGCCCAATCGAACGCCATGTACGTAATATAGTACTATATTATGGTACCAGCTGATATGCTTCATGGTACCATAATAATGCAATGTCATCAAAAATACGCAAGTATATATCAAATATGAGCTCAATCGAACGCCAGGAAATGATATTGAAATATGGTACTATATTAAGGTACCACTTTATATGCATCATAGTACCATCATATTACAATGTAACCGAAAATACGTAGTATAACAAGTTTAAGTCCAATCGAACGCCAGGAAATGGTATCGTAATATGGTACTATATTATGGTACCTCTTATTATGCTCCATGGTACCATAATATTACGTGAATAACATAGTGACATATCACCGAAGATACGTAGTATCCCAAATTTAAGCCCAATCGAACGCCATGTACATAATATGGTACTATATTATGGTACCAGATGATATGCATCATAGTACCATCATATTACAATGTCACCGAAAATACGTAGTATACCAAGTTTAAGCCTTTCTACTGCCGCCATGTACCTAATATTGCTATGTCATCAAATATGGTACTATAGAAGGTACCACTTTATATGCTCCATGGTACCATGATATTACAATGTCACTGAAGATATAGTATACTAAGTTTAAGACCAATCGAACGCCATGTATCGTAATATAGTACTATATTATGGTATCACTTGATATGCTTCTGAAAAAAACGGCGTCCAGTTGGCTGGAAAAGGACGATCGATGACATTTCCCATATAAATTTACATATAAAATGACAGTGATATTAATTTCATAGCTATCGCTAACGCCGTTTTTTCCCGATTATACAATATGAACTTGGTATGAACACAATCGAACGTCAGGAAGTGGGTGGTATCATAATAGTAGAACAATACTTATTATATTGTCGCCGAATTACAATGAAAATTCAGGATTCAATTATACAATCAAACGTCAGGAAGTGATAGTAATTTAGCTCATAAGATTTAATTCCAACTAACATGGCAAACTGAAAAAAACAGCTCTGATCTATTTTAATATGTTTAAATGATGTAGCAAATTTGAAGGTAGGCTTTATCAGGAAGTATTACCATATGAATTACACATTGGCAACACTGCACAAAATTCTTTTAAATTTTGTTTGTAGAAAACTGTTTTCTTTTAAATTTATTGCCCTCTATTATGTAGTAGCGAAACTAGCACATCAAAATATCTGATTTGGAGACAGACTTTTAAAGCCTGTCTCCTTTTGCTACCTACAATTTTATACATGTAACGAAGTTTCTGTTGCGTAGCTAGATATTCTGTGCTTTTAGTGCCGCAACCATAGAGTAAAGCCGTAACTATGGTAATATCAGAGATTAAGAAATTATACCGTGGGAAAATTTGCGGTGAACAGGCTGTTCTAAAAAGTTTTCGAAAAATATACAGGGAAGTTAAAAGAAAATGCACGATTTTCAATATCTTTTTTTAGCGAAAAAAAAACTCATAAACGTGTTCCTGTGGTCGAAATATACCACCCCTGAAAATATTTGCACTTATTCAAGACTCACCCTATATGTATATAAAATATTAGCAAGATTAAAATGTTAAATATTTAGTAAAATTTAATGTTGTATCTAGAATCTAGACATTAAAATTTAAATTTAAAAATCATTATATTATTCATTTAAATATAATTATAAAAATAAATAAAATGAGTATATCGAAAATAAGTTAACAATACATTTTTAGGGCAAGAACATGGGCAATTGCAGCTAACGGAGAAGACTTGATTGAAGATATAAATAAGGCCCACAAGTACAGGTTGTGTTCTGTTCACTTTGAATTTAAAATGTTTACCAATTCACTTTGTAACCGTATAAAATAAAATGCGGTACCTACTTTGTTTCCTGCCATGAAAAAATAGAAGTTTCTCAAAAAAAATTGTGGATTTATTAATTTGTGAAATTTGAATATTAATAAAATTTGCTACGCCCATTGATGGGCATAATTTGTACGTAGCCTCTTTATATTGTTCAATAAATATTTTATTGGTATTTTTTTAATTCTTGTTTGTAACTCCTGGCATGTTTTTGTTAGTTGCGTGTTTTTTAATTTTAATTGTCTGTTCTCTACAGTGAAATATTTAATTGATTTTTTCATTTTTACTTTTCGAGAAGTATGAGCGGTTAACGATTCATTTGTTTGGACAAAAGTATTGTAAATAAAATTCAGTTTCAGTCAATTATAGTATTTTTTTAATACGACCCTGTCGTATTTTCTGAGAAATTTTTTAATACGTTTTAATCCGGCCCTGACTAGGAAACCATAATGGCGCCGACAAGGTCAAATTTTATAGAAATTTTAAACAATGGAATCTGAGTAGAGTTGGCGTGCCGATTGTTTTATGTGCCGTGCTTATATCGTTTTAGAAGAAGCTTTTATTTTAGATATGAGGTTTTCAATAGGAATTGAAATGTTTATAAAAGGCCATAACAATAACAATCATAAACTCGGCACTTTTAAATTTAAAACTTTAAATTATGGTTTAATTTATTAAACGGCTTCGGCACAGTTAATAGAATACATTGAATAAAGAATATTTTTTTTTTATTCTTTATTCAGTGATAGAATATAGGTATGGCAATGGTTCAGAATTTGTTTAAAATAGCCCCTAGACGAGCACTAGCTGGGACGAATTTACTTTTTAGGTTAAATTTATAATTCTACTAAATAATTCGAATTATTAATTCGATTATGAAATATGAATTATTACTAATTATTCGATGGTGAAAATAATTCGATTATTCCCATCACTATAATTAACTGTTATTGGTTATTGGGTCTTCCGCTTGGGTCTTCCGTAGACGCTAGTTATAAATGTACGATAATTTTTAACGGTTTCGTGTTGCGACGACAATTCTCTAGTGATTTTCTATTTGACATTTGAATTTGACATCTAGTCTAGAAATGGTCTAGAATAGCAAGTCTCAACTCAAAACAAAACAGGTTTTTGTATTTAAATAAAAATAATTATTTTCAAGTGGCTTAAAGTTTACTAAGTGCAATTTACGGTTAACCAATTTACAATTTATTAAGTACAAGAATGTCTGACAATGAAAATTCAAGAACGCCAAACCACCAAGTTCCAGTAGAAACATATAAATGTTCCCAGTGCAATTTCTATACTAATCATGAATATTATTTACAACAACATAGCTTAACACACAGTTTACAAAATTTAGTGGAACAATATAAAAGAAACCAATCCAATTACGATACCGATAATCAAATACAATCATATTTGAGACCACATAATATAAGCCACAGTATTCAAATGCCAGTAAAATATTTCCAGTGTCTACAGTGTAATTTTGAAACAAATCAAGAGACTTATTATAAAGAACATATATTAATACACGAAACACAACCCTCAATTAATGGTTACAGAATATCAACTCAGCGTAATTTTGATGAGGAGCAGGAATCTTATATTAAACCTAATATAAGTAATGTGTTATCTATTGATAATTTTAGTAGTAATTATGTTAAACAAGAGCAAAGAAATGTAAAGCCTCATAATCTAACACAAAGCACACAAGTTTTTGAAAACTGTTTTTTGAAGCAGCCAGATCTAGATACAGAGCCTTTAGAAAATTTTAGATGTCTTAACAGTAACAGTAATTGTACATCTGAGACACAAGAAGAGTTTGATTTTAAACAACACAGTCTGAGTGATGACTTACAAATTCCATGTCCAGAAGTTTTCAAGTGTACCAAATGTCTTTATAAAAGCCTTCACGAGGAAGATTTGAAACAGCACATTAAACAACATCAAGAAGAAATAATACTGGAAGAAAAGAAACTCACAATTGAAGTGTTTAAGTGTCACAATTGTAATTACTCAACCAATCTTAAAGCATTTTTAGAACGGCATATGTCAAGCCATACAAGGCCATCAGCACAAATTAAAGCCACAAAGCATAAATGTTCAATATGTAACTTTGTAACAGAGCATGTAAAGTTTTTAAAAAGACATTTATTAAGTCACAAAGAGAGCAAATCATATAAGTGTAAAATGTGTAGCTTTGAAACCCTTTATAGAAAAATGTATTTAAAACATATAGCCACAAAACATAAATTGATAAAAAAGGTTTCAGCAAAAAAAAGGAAATACGATATAATAACTGTCAAGTGTATGGAATGTAATTTTGAAACAGAAACAAAGGAACAGTTGGAGATACATAAAAAATTGAGACATAGAGATAAATCCGATGATTCAAATTTACATATATGTCAGTTTTGTGAATATCAAACTAATTGGGAACCCTGTTTGAAACGTCACATTGAAAGACTGCACCCTAGCAAGGTTGCAGAACCAGCAAAGAGAGCTAAAGCAAAAGACAAATCTACAAAAGCAAAAAAAGGTAATAGAAAGAATAGCTCAGGTAAGGAAATGCTTAGATGTAACAATTGTGATTTTACGTCAACAAGTAAACAATACCTCATATTACATTTAAAACGGTCTCATATATGTAAGGAGCCTGAATCTAAAGCTACTGCAGCTTCAAAGATATATAGATGCAAGCAAAAAAATTGCTTGTTTGTGAGCACAGTCAAGTATACTTTCATTCAACATGTTAAGAATCACAGACGTCAGAAGACAATTTCTAATTTGTGTGACTTGTGTGATTTTATATCTGAGAGTGCCGATAAACTAGCTGCTCACAAGAAAAAAGTTCACCTTACCTATTTACTCAAAGTTTATAAGTGCTCGCAGTGTGATTTTAAGACAGTGTGTCGGAACAGTTTTAAAGCACATTCTGTAAAACACAAGTCTTATTTTTGTAACATTTGCAATGAACAACTAGTATCTGCTTATGCAATGGTAAAGCATAGAAGATCTCACAAAATTCAAAAGCAGAAGAACATAATTTATTTATGTGACGTGTGCGGTTTCCAGAGCAAGAATGATAGATCTTTGAAGATGCACAAAAAGACCCACAATCCAGAATTTAAGTGTCCAGATTGTCCATTCGAGACCCATAGTAAGGTTAGTATGCACTATTAAGATTATTTATAGAGAAATTAATTAGTTATTATCAGTCACTTATTGTCAGTCATATTAGTTAGTATGGGCGAATAGCACTGGCAGCTCAGGCCTTAAACTAAAGTACTACCACAAACTAATTTAGACAGATGCGACACCTTATGGGAAATTTTGTGTACAAAACATCCCCCTTTAGAACTTCATCTGTCATGTTAAGAAATGAAAGTAAATAATAAAACGCCTCTCGTGTTTGTTCGCACTCTAAAAATTTCAAATAATGCCTGTATATATTTTTTAAATTTAATAAAATATATATTTTTTAAATTTAATTTTTTTTAATTGTAAAGTAATATATTACATTTAAATGGAATATATTACATTACAATTATGTCAATTACAGGATTACAGGCTTGTTTTCTAAAATTTTTTAAATAAAACGAATTGTTAAATTTCAATATAATATGTATATTTGTCGTAAGTATGAAAAAAGTAAATTATAAAATGGACAAACGCTTACTTACATTGCAATAAAACTTCCACTTTTAGTTTTGCAATCCAAACGCAATATTTCTATTTCACAAATAAAAATATCCGATAACACTAAAATCACTGAAACTTCCGCGGCTGACAACGAAAAGTGAAAAATATAACGGCACTTTTTGTTTTGGACCTGCATATCAACATTACGCTGTACCGTTATGAAAATATCTAATTATAACTTGTAAATTTTAATATTTTAACATGATTTTAACTATTTCTGACAATAACTAACTTTTTGTTATCAAGATGACATTTTAGACGGCAACTGACATATATGTCATAATATTTGAATTTTAAATATGTATGTAAGTAATATAATTTAAATTAATATAAGCAACTTTATACTAAGAAAACATTTATACACTCACAAAATACAACAAAGTCTAATAATATAGGTTGAAAACAATGAATATTGAAATAAAATAAAAAAAAAGTTAAGCGCGACCCCTTGTGTCAAAATTAGATGATTAAATTTTCGCAATTTTTACACCATTTGATGACCGGTTGCGCCTCTAGTGTTTGTTCGGGCGGTTGGTCTTTTACTCACACCCTTGTATATGAATTTTTAAAGTAGCTCAACCCATAAAATAATTAACTAGAAAGAAGTGTCAACTCTGTGTTAAATCGTGGAAACACGATACGCCACCGAAAGCCTTCGTTGTCGTCTGGAGAACTAATTTTCCAATTGACAGGTCGACATGATAAGGACATGATGGCTTAATTTTCATTTAAGTTTCCGGATATTCAATGGCGGGCCCTCTTTCAGTTCAAATGTATTTTGTATTTTTTCTTTTCACAAATAAAACCAAAAAATAATTTATTCACATATATTTATTTGAAATATGGAACAACGTGACTAAATAAATATAAAAATATAGAGGATTGTATTGTTTCAATTCCAATTAGTTAATTACATGTACTTTTAACGTAAATTAGTTAAGGTATAAGCATGACTTACATTAATTTGTAAATAAACACACGTATTCGCAGACTTCAAGGACAGAAAACGGACACAGGAACATGAAAACGGGAGCCTTATACAAAAACCTGAAAACAGAAAAACAATTTTTTTATACTAAAATTAACAATGTAAAAATATCAATAGGTATAAAATATAAATATACTGTTTAAAAAAAGCGTCCATTATTCCCAAAGAGACCTGGCTTATAAATCAAAAAGAAGCAAAAAGAGACTTGTAGTCGGATAACATAATCAGATTATCAGTCCGATTTATTGCATTATTGACAATAAGTCGCACATACTGGAGATAACTAATGTTGGCTATAGTTAAAAATGATCTTACCTTGCTGTAAATTGTTTCCATTTTCAAAAAAATCGCCGATCAAAGAGACTATAACACCATTTTCTTGCATCTAAAAAATGTAAAAACAGTGTTTATTTACTACCTATTTTTTATATACATGGGACATACCTACTACTGCAGAAACGTCATTTTCTCCAGGATTCTTCATGTAATATATAGTTTATATACTTTATTACCTTTATATTTATAAATTTCAGCCGAAATATTAAATTGAACTTCCAAAACGAAACTAAACGGAATGAATTAAAATGGCGTCGAATATTTTCGAATTTGTTCTAGAACAAATCTGAAGTTATCTCTGAAACTGAAATCTGTCAATTCTAAACTGTGAAGTTAGACAATAGTTAGACAAAAACAATGCTGTCCTTGTCTAGGCGGCCATACTTGTCGTCAGGAGAATGACAAGAATGACACTAATGACTGTTTCCAATTTTCCTATTTCACTGTCACCCCCCTGGCTCAACCTAAGACGTTTATGGATGTAAAGCACCAGATGGCGGGGCGTATTTCACTGTCTTTTACTACAGAAAAATATTTTTTGTTACTCTGAATTTTGAAGCGACCAATAAAAACAGAGAAAATAAAAATCGATAATTTTCGGACTGTGCCAATTGGTTACTAATCGACCAGATACTTTTTATCTATTAGATATGCTATAAAAGCTGGTAATTATTCAATTCGACCATTGTAAATACCCGACAAATTCCGCAAGGCCGACGAGGCCGATGTTTTTCACTGATAAGAAAAAAAATTGTTTGTTTAGATAATTTTCTAGATATGTTTTCTTTCTGAATGCACATTTTTAAAGTATTTTATATTCTTTGTCATCTTGATCTATTATACTGGTCGCACGTATCGAAGTTCTGTTTCTTCTAGTTTTAAAAAATGTTCTTATTTCTTTGTAGTTGTAGTGGTTATAGTGTAAAATTAGATTAGTTGTATTAAGTTTAATTATAATGTTTAGTGTAGAATACAAGAATTAGTTTAGTAGTGTTTTTATAGTTTATTATTTTGTAGTTAAGTAGTAGGTGAAGGGATAATTTGGTTATTTTTTCTTTTTGTTTGGTTAATTAGTAAGTTTGATAATTTTTTCAGTGAAAAATACAAGAAGTAGTTGTATAGTGTTTTTATAAGAGATTATATTTGTTTATTTTGTAGATGAGTAGTAGGTGAAGGTATTCGGGTATTTTTTCTTTTTGTTTTTCTTCTAATTGTAGTAATTCTATTAAGTATTGTGATAGATACACTATATCTTCTTTCAATTTCGTTGAAAAGTGCGCTATCATATAATTTTGGTTTTCTGGTAGTAGAATATATGAAAAAAAAATCTGATCAAATTTATTTTAAAATAAATTATCGAGTCTTATTAATCAAATTAATCTAGTCAAATAATAATAATAGTTAGTTTCTAAATACTATACAGGGTGAGTTTCCTACGATGTTCGCTATGGGTATCTCGGAAATTACTGGAGACAGAGAGTCGGTTAAATAGGGAAAGAATTGCAGTTTTGTGGGGTCATAAATATGCGCCTTTCGGATTTTTCGGATAAGTTCAAGGCTTACTAGATATTTCGAAAAAAAAAAATTTGCCTATTTTAAAACTTGTCTCTAATTCCGTTGTAATATACCGTATGATCGAATAAAAACGGCGTCAACGATGGCTATGAAATGAAGATCGTTGTCATTTTATATGTAAAATTATATGGGAAATATCATCGATCATTTCATAGCCATCGCTGACGCCGTTTTTATTCGATCATACGGTATTTTAGACAAAAAGTTTTCAGATAAAAGTTGTAGATAATCACATACCTAATGAGTTTGTGTTTTCTGTTTTTTTTTCTAAAGCCTGTCATTTTTGACATATGACAAAAACATTATGTTTTTTTTTAAATGGAAACCCTAGTTGGCCATGACTTCATAAAGAGCGCCATTCTTTAAGCTTTTCAGCGATATAGGTTTAATATGTTTTTTTCGAAAAATTACAAGTCATAGCCAATTCTTTTCTTTCTTGGCTAATTCCCATAACAATAATACCATGCCAATTAGTTGGCATCAAAAATGTAAAAAGTTTTATGTTTTCAAAAAAAAATATCGTAAAATTCGTAAAGCACTCAATTTAGAATAAAATAATCTAAGAATGAAATGATTCTTTTATAAACCTGCATTAAATCAAATTAAAATAGGTATGTAACTTTTTTTAAATTTTAATTAACAGCAATTAGCATTATTATAAATTATAAATAATGTACCAACATGTCGAAATAATAATTTCTTTGTTAATACGGTTTAGAATTCTTAAAATAACAGGCAAAAATAATCCACAATTTAGTTTCGTTTAAATTTCTTAATCAGCTGATCACTATTAAAGTTCGCAGAAACCCGGGGCTATATTATTACATTACTCTGAGGAAAATAACGAAAATAATCGATATTTTTGACTCCGCCCCGAAAGGTTCACGATTTGTCCTTCAGTTGCCAGCACATTTTGTCTAGTCGGTTGAACAACTTTAAGAATATATAAACAAGGCTCACACTTATGGCCATTAAAGAAAAAGTTCTAAAGAGGGATGTTTTGTGATTTTGTGTTCAAAAAGACCTATGTTCGGAAGTGCGACACCAGGACGGCAATACCGTCGATAAAGGCAAAATATTCGGCCAAACAAACAGTCGTAGTGACTTCAACTCGTTCCCGCATTCCTCTCTTTCCTAAGCTTCCATTTCTTTCGTTCTTTCTCACCTTTAACCAATGACTAAAGAATATAAGGACATGTAACGCCCCTGTACGGGCTGTAGTAGAATTTGTGACGTTAGACGCCATTCGTTTGATGCCAAACAGTGAGTCATCATCCAGTCACCAGCGACAATTTTAGCGATTTTTAATAGTTTGTTGTGTGTAGTGAACTTTGTATAAACTTTGTTACAATGGTGAATTGTGTAGCTTTCAAGTGTAAAAGCCACAGCGAGAAGAAAGAGCCAGGAGTTACGTTTCATAGGTAAATAAACAGTCCACTCCAACTTTTTAGCGTTTTCTTATTGAATTCGATAATTATTCTTCAATTTCAATTAACATCTATATGTACTTGATATGTGCTATACGTCGATACAGTTTTGTATCTTTTGTTAACATTTAGTACGT